AGCTTTAAATGTAGAGGCAAATTTTTAAAAAGTGCTTATCTAGTACCATTACCCTCAAATGTTGGTAAACTTACATCTTAAGTCCCACTAATTCACAATCCAATGTCACACACAGTACACACTCAAATGTCCAATCCTTCACAGCACATAAAGTGATCGGGAACCCTGGACTACCATGGACCACAGGTGTTACAGAACGCACAGTTCAGAGGAGAGCCGTGATGGCAGAATGTTTTTCAGACTCAATTCTTTTAAGAGAACAAATGTGGAAACAAAATTTTAAATGCTCAAGTCATACAAATACATAACAGTGACTCCAAATTGCCATCATGTATGTTTTGTATTAGGGATACAAAAACTTACCCCCATGCAGTTATGTTGACACCCTAGACAATAAAATCTTCCCACAATTCAACATCCCATAATTTTCTGGTTGTACTAAAAAATAAACAACCGGTAAATGATTTCACATCTTTAAAAAAAGCACTTACACTAAGAAAATGGGGCGAATTGGGATTTCCTTCTTAAAAATGTTTCTAGAGCTACTAATAAACTTGCATTAAAAAAACTTGCATTTACAAAATAGTTGATAAAAATATTCCTCTGGACTGCACAAGGGAGCTAACAGGGCCCACTGATAAGACATGATAAACATTCATCAGACTTGGCTCTTTTTCTCCTGCTTCATCAGAGGCTGGACTCTCCTCGTGTTTCGTTTCTCCATTTTCAGCAGGTGAATCTGCTCTAGCTTCTTGGTCGGCCACTTCCGCCTGTTTCCCTTTGCTCCTCTTTTCCCTTTTGCTTGCACTTTTTTGTCCCAAGAGTCATCCTTTCCTGGCTTTGTCTCCACTTTTGCAGGCGCAGGTTTCACTGACAATCTGGCCGATCTCTTTGGCTCCACCTTCATGGCCCCTTCGGCCAAGCTGACCTTCCTTTTGGGCATCTTGGCTGTGGGGAAGGCGCTTGCAGGATGCCTTCGGACCGCAGGGCACAGAGTGCCTTCTCGAAGCTAGATTGCCTGGTGCTGCAGCTCTGCCCGAGCTGCTAGGACCCATGGCCGAGTGGGTGGTCGCCTAATTTCTTAACAGTACCAAAATCAGTTATGAAGTAGCAATGAAAATAATTGTATAGTTGGGGGAAGGTCACATGAGGAACTGTATTAAAGGGTTGTAGCATTAGGAAAGCTAAGAACCACTGCCTTAATAGTTAACATTTATGTACATAGATCTATTTCCCTATAGTTATATAATTTTACATATGTACATGTCTGTATTTAGACTTCTATAAACGTCCTTTGCTTTCTAGTTCTTTCTTCTATTTCCTTAAGTTTTGGCAATTCCTCTGGGCTACAATGCCCTTGATCAGGCCCCACCAGGAATCCTACATCCTCCTCCCCATTGATTCTGGATCACTTTTGTTCCCTTGTCCCTGGCTTTGTTGGCAGACACCCCCCCCCCTCCTGTGTCTCCCCCAGGGCAATCGTTATTTTCCCATCTGGATTGTTTATTCTCTTAACTAGATAAACATAGACAATAACAAGCACAAAAACAAGACAGAACAAAATAATAAAAGCCTATAAATAATTCCAGGTCTGTTTGTCGACCTTTGAGTGCTTTCTGGTTGAGTCTGATAGGGTGCCATGCCCTGGCCCGTCTATTTTTGGTACTCCTAGAGGACATTTCTTTGTTCCCCTTTTTGCTCTGTTACATGCCCTTAGTGTTTTGCCCCACATGGTCAGATCAGGCACAATTCCCACACTGCCCCATAGCGCTCGGAGGAATGTTATGGTGGGGCTGGCCCTATGGTCCCTTCTGTACATTGGCTGCTCTGAGCAGGAATATCTGGCGTGGTGGGTCAGAAAGTGTTCCTCTCTCCTTCCCTCATTTGCTCCTGTGTGCTCTGATCAGACGTGCTCCTCTTCCCAACTGTAGCTTCAGTGCTGTCCTCTGAAGTGCCTTCTTCTTAGGGGTCGTGGAAGGTGTTTTCATCCCTTTAACCTTCCCTTGAAAAATCCAACGTGCTTCCACTTACACCACCAAATCAAAATGGCAGTTCTAGCACCCTTCAGAGACTCCATTTATTATCAGTGCTCAGTTTGGAGAACAAAAAGACTCACAGGGCAAGATCAGGATGGCAAAGAATTGGATGCAGTAAAGTTTTCCCATGAAATTCTCACAGGACAGCCCTTATATCCTCAAAATGTGAACAGGTGCCTTGTTCCAGGAAGGAAAACATTCCTTGGTACAACTTCCTGGCTGTTTTCCTCATAAACGCAGTCTTCAGTTTTCTTACTTCATATTAAGTCCCCATGAACCTCTCTCAGTTCAAGAAAATCAAGGTGACTCCTTGAAATCACCGGAGAGCATTATTTTGATTAGACCTTTATTGTTAAAATCTTACATGTCACCAATTTTCGTTTTGACCCATTTTTAACTTGTTCTAAATTTCATTTTCTGCTTTCTTATGGACTGAGGAATTTGTTTCATTATTTTTGGGGGGAGGTTTTGGTACAATTTTCTTTATATGAAACTGAGGAGAAAAAAATTTATAGACAGTTACTAGATGATTAATAGCTCCTTAGTGTTACAGCAGGAGAGGTTGGGGAGCTAATAATGGATACAAGAATCAAGAAAATGTTCTAAAATTGTGATGATCACACAACTTTTTAACATATTTAAATCATTGAATTGTATGGTAGATAAGTTACATGCCAATTAAACCATCTAAAAAAGAAAGAATGTGTAAACAGAATGTGGCTTATCCATACAACAGAATATTAGTCAGCCATACAGAGAAATTATATAAGTATTGACTGACACATGCCACCTCCTAGATAAATGTTGAAAACAATGTTCTGAGCAAAATTAGCCAAGTCTATGGGGCAAACATTGAATGATCTCACAAACATATATATGTATATATACTTATATATATACACCAAATTATTAATGGCTGCCACGGGTGCTAAGAGATGGGAAGAGTTTTTATTCAAGAGCATTCATTTTTATGTTAATGGTGATAGATTTTGGAAAGGGATACCAGGAATATGAAAAATATAACCAATGTCACTGAATTATAAAAGTAAAGATTGTGCTGTATTGGGGTGTATTTTTCACACGTTCTGAAAATAATTGAGAATTAGCAAAACTTATAGCCATTAAAGAGCCCTCCTTGGTGGTTTAGTAGTTGACTCAAGTCAGAAAGCACAATTCAGAAATAAATTATTCACTTTTCTGAAGTTAGTAAAACTTTTGTATTTCAGTGTTATAAAATGTTTCTAAAGGGGGAAATGAAATACCAATAGAGCAAACCAATAGACTTCTCAGTTTTCTTTAAAAAATAAATGTTTATTTTTTTAACGAAAAGTTTAAACATTTTTCAAAGTTTGTGTTCAGTTTAACCAGTAAAAAAAGACTTTTGGGAAAAAAAATTTACAAGTAAGTACAAAATACTTGAGAATATACTTTGACATTCATTGTGTATTTTTAAAAAATAAAGTTTTGCTAATGTAGCTTAAACAAAATATATTCACAGCGCCAGTTAAAATAAACATGTCCTAACTGGGAACTGTCCTTTCACAGATTTCAAAGGATTCATGGAAGGATTCCTTGTAAAACGATGGTAAACTGTGTTCAATAGTGATGGTCCAATACCTTGTTTGCCGGCAATACCAACAGCTACTTGTGTAGGCTGTCTCAAAACAAGAGACTGCAGTCTTGGTTAAAAATTTTAAGTGAAGCACATACATCTCTGGTAGAGAACACTCAGCAAAATCAAAGCAATTACAGAATCACACCACATTACGTTGACGGGCCATTTCCAGTGTTTTTCTTTTCCATATGCATTCTTTTGAAGGTTTGAAACATTCCTGTTGAATCTTTTACTGTGTTTTGTAGTGTCTCAAGTCCATCTGCACTGATGCTTCTTTTCGGAAGTTTTGATTTGGGCAAAATATTGTTATCTAAGAATACAAACAAAAAATTTGTGGTAACTATGTTTAGCAGGAAAAATACCATCCATCACCCATGGCCTGAGTTTTGAATAGAACCCTAGATGAAAGAGCTAAAATTTTTGTCAAATCCTATTTACTCCCTATCTCTACGATCTATTTTGCATATGAACTGCAACTGACAGGTGAGTGGGAAGAGTGGTGTTGGCTGTGGTGGTTCAGATCGGCTGAGCCAGTTATCAGTGGTTGGGTGATTACATAATGATGCTTATTATATAATGATGTGGTCACTCTCCAATTTGTGATCTGATTCAAGTCACGGTTTTCCCATGATTCTATCCAAACATCACGACCTGGTCTTTGAAACCTAACAATGTTGATATGTGAGGGGTGGGTGTACAATTCTTTATATCACCTCTCCTTTCTAAGAGCTTCCCCCCAACTCTCTCTCCATTACTCCTGCTCAGGGTTGTTCTTGGCTCAATAAAGTATCTGTTATCATTCACACACTTTATTGTCACCTAGATCTTCTTAACTGTTGTTGAGAGAGCACAAACGAGTTTAAATCAGGGCTTCAAACAAGTTTGAACTGGTTCAGTTATGGCACGTGAAGTGAAACTGGGCACAAGTTTTCAAAATGTTGGTGACCCAGATGTTTATTGGAATGGAAAAAATTTTGAGTTGAAGTCCTGGAATGGCAAACTCTTTCCAGGAGTCAGCTGTGTGACACATCAGATTACTGCTACGCCAAAACTGTGCACAGTAATACATTCACAGTGGCACCATGGCACTGCCAGTCATCATCTTTCAGGTAGACACCACTGTTTTCGTTTTGGCTGGTCAGTGCAACGCACATTTTTACCCTGTTTTTTAAGAGGAAGGTTCCAGTAGGGCTCTGACCTTTAATTTTCCCATTCCAATGAGCTTTCCTTTATATCCACATTTTAAAAATCCATTGTAGTGTTACATTGTCAGCCATGACTGAATTGCAAAGAACTGGTTCAAAAATTATAGCACAAAACAGCTTTAAAGTGAGTGGGAAGGGCAGCTTTAATATTTGGTCTTGTCTAACATTCTAAGACATATCTGCACTTTGCTGCCCTTTAGCCTTTTTCAGTATGGTTCTCCCTCCCTATCCTTGTGATGGACTCAGCTCTTCCTGCTCATGTGCATTTCTAGACCTGACTTTTAATTTTATCAGCTCCTTTCCACTATTAATAATCTCCATACTCCTAACTACTGCTGCCCTACTTTTTAGATGCAGAAGATGGTTTTCTCTGTTGAACTCTATTAGATCTGCAAACTTGCACAACTTTTTTAACTGAGTATGTCTCAAAGAACACCCTCTATACTTCAACTTTCCTATCACATTTATATGTAAGCAGATTAGGTACAATCTTTTGGAAGGATGTGGGTTTTTCCCCCGGCCCGGTCTCATTTTTTAGTAGATCATTGTTCATCTTAATTGTATGTTTATGTTTCAGCTTTCACTCTATTCCCCAGACATTTTAGGGCTAGTCCCATTGGTCAGCAATATCACTCTTAAACGAATGTGGTACCACCTCTAATTTCTCATTTTCTATCAGTTTGGACTGCTTTATATCATTTTACTCTATATATACACATCTGTAACTGCTTCTTTGTTGTGCTTTTCTGATCCTGCTTTAGATGTGTGTCTTGTTCCGTGTCTTCTTTTGAGTCATAATTGAATAGCTATCTGACTTATACTGTGCATTGTCCTTCCTGTTTGTAGCTTATAAATCCCCTTCTCTCTTAAGTATTTACTACTCTATTTCCAAGGTCATTTTTGGTCCCATCTTGGCATCCAATCCTTATCTTTGCTACCTGTAGAAATAATTGATTTAATTCTTTCAGTTGCTTTCCCATTCTGTGATTAAGGGCACCTTTTTCTTTGATATTTCCTGGTTTCCTCCTATATGCTTGCTTATGTAAAGTTGTCTCTCTTCCAAAACACTTACTTGCTTCTTGTTGCTTTTTTTAAAGTTCTGCTTGTCTCCATTTATAATGGACTATTAACCCAAACTCCTGAAGCCTAGCTTGTATTCTCATTCAAAATAAAAACAGTACATGAATTCCACTAATTATCTGGACATTGATATCTCATATTTATGGTTGACATGGTCCCAACACCCCTCTTCCAAAAAATAACCCGCCATGCGTCTTTCTTAGTCCTCTTTTCCTAATCCTTAAGATACCTTAATGGACCTGGTATGCCACTGTTTTGGAAAAAAAAATAAATTTTTATTGCTATGAAGCCATGTTCATTTAGTTGCCTTTTTCTATGGGTAACAGAAAGAATATAACAGAAGTCTAACATATTTACTATATATTCCTTCACAAAAAGTCTGGTAACACTAATCCTTAACACTTTACCCAATGTTTCGGGGATTTTCGTTTTTATTAAAAACAAGATCAGAGTTCCTTACAATACAGCATGATGGGGGAAAGAGACGGTCTAGCCACCACTCATAAACACAAACATTCCATAGCTGAGCTGAATAAAAGACCAGGATAAAACCACAGTCCGTAATAGTTTCATGGTTATACTCAATTTTACAAAGCAGAGTGGGAGCAGAAGTGAAAATGATTTTACCTCTTTGGTCGGCATCCAGAATTCTTTTCTCAGGGTTAACACATTTTAGCCAGGCTTCTTTTGTACTTTTCATTCCTGAAACTATTTAAACATTTCTTTTCAGACCTCAAGACAAGTACTCTTTTTTACCATGTCTATTAAAATTTTTATTTCATGCAGGTGTAATATAGATTTGAAAGTAGATAAATCAGCATTAAAAAAACAACATACACTTTGTACTTGTGAACCCCCTAACACCCTAAGAAAATATATTGCTATAGTTTAAGCTTATGCACCCCAACAGATATTCTCAAAAGCACTACATATTTTTATTCTCCAATCTCCATTTCTCACTATAATACTTTCTGTATCTTCCTTAATACTTATGTTATATTACTGCTATAAATAACTAGCTATTTTTTCCCTTCTCTCCAAACATTTTAAGAATTTCATTGCTATCACCCAATACGTTTGTTATTCTGGCTTTTGGACATAACAATACTGCTCCCACAGTCTTCCATTTCATGAGTAGACAAGCTATTACCATTTAAACTTAGATGGCTACTAAGATGGTCTATAGTAAGGTAAACCATTTCCGTTGAACAAGAAATTATTTAACAAGCATTAAATATCTCATATTTATAGCAAAATTATAAATTCAAGAGGCTTTGAAAGGGCAGTCGAAAGGAGAATCACACCAAGAACCAGCACTCTTTAGACCAGCAGTTCTCAACCTGTGGGTCGCAACCCCTTTAGGGGTTGTATAAAACGAGCTATGTGTATTTGATAAACTATACAATATACATCTTGTGAAAATGAATTAAAAGCCTTTCCTAGCTGTCCAGATGAAAAGCGCCAACTACTTATTGATCTACATATTAAACTCTTTAGAATTCTGCACACACCATCAAGAAAATCATACTGGACCTTGTATAGGAGCTTGCTCTTTCTTAGGACATGGCTTCAGCATCTTCCTCTCTTCACCGATCTTATTCCCCAAAAGCGTGTCTGGCCATAACTTAAATTCCAGCATTGGTGGTTTTTTAATGGAAGGTTTCACAGGTAAAATGTTTTTAGTGTCATTTTCCTGCCTCCTCTCCGTATTTGGCTTCTTGGGGGAATTGTCCAATTTTGAGAGAGAAATGCTTTCACGTTCAGTGCATTTAAATGCAACCCTGTTCAGGTACCGTTTCCCATGATCCTTTGCCATGTGACTTTCACTGTTTAGACTGGCTAAGTGTTTGTCTGTTTTGGACTTACCCATCCATGTTTTATCACTTTGCAGTCTACCATCTTTTCCTTCAATGACTTTGGAAATCTTGTGCATTTTAGACTCCTCAGAACGGTGGATTTTGGGGGCTTTACCATGGCTTGTGGAAATGTTTAATGATTCTGAAGTCTGTACAAGGCTGCTTTCTCTCTCGTTTGATTTCCCAACACTCTCTCCTCTCATGTGATGTTTATTAGGTCTCGAGTCTTCAGGCACGCTTTTCACTTTCTCATTCCCACTGTCCTTTGTGGCTTTGTGGCTCGCTGCTTCTTTATTCCTTTGCCTTTCTAAATACTCCTTGGGTGTGAGAACTCTCTTTTTAATTTTACATGAAGCATCCTGTGAATCTGAGGATTTAATGTTTGAATTTGGAGATTTTGTTGAACTTCTGTGGGTGCTGACTTCCCCGTTTGTGGGTTTTACGTCTACGGATACAGTCTTTTCTTTAATACTGGCTCTTTCCTTTGAGTTTGACAAAGGCTTTGAGTTGAAAGAAATTCTCACGTCTTTGTTCTGCTCTCCTTGATCATGTTTCTTCTTTTGTCTCTCCTTATCAACCGGAGTTGCACATTCTGGCTTCTTTTTGTCCATAAGTTTATATCTGGAGCTACCTGCTTTGAATTTCAATTTTATCTTCTCGGGTGATTTTGACTGCATCAAAGAGCCATTCTTATGATTTGCCAAAATAACTGTCTTTGATTTTGGTGGACACGCGTTCTGTGCCTGGTGTTTCTGTATGCTCCCTGAAGGATCTTGTTCACATAATTTGGGCATTTTACTATTGGAGTGAAAAGTTATCTCATGGAACTTAAGTTTTCTCTTTCTTTTGTGACTTTGCAAGGGATCTAGCTTTTTATCATACTTGGTTCCTTCTGTCTTTACTGAGTTATGGTTTGCTTTAGATTTATCCTTTGTGTTATTGTCTTGTTTTATTTCTGAGACAAGATTTTTTCCATCTGACAGAGTTAGAGACATTTTGTGGTCTTCAGTAGGTGAACTATTACATTCAGCAGGGATGTCATCTTTTTTACCATCTGGCAGCGTCACAGAAACTTTTTGGTCCTTATTGGGAGGATTATTACCTTCAACAAGGAGGTTTCTGTCAGAGTTTTTATTTCCTGGTTCACACTTGCTGATCTCCAAAGAGGAACACTGATCTTTCTTTTCTTCCTTTGAAGCCGAGTTATTGGATTTACATTGGCATTGGGGTACTCCTTCATAAATCAGAGAGAGCCAACCCAGTGCACAGCAATGGATATCATCTTTGTGACCATTTGGTACCACAGAATGACTTCCTTCATCTGTATGTTCTTTTGGATCACACTTGCTCCCTACTTTTGTGGTAGGGTTTTCCTTCTGGAGTTTGGTCAATTTGGTCAGGTTGTCTCCGTCACTGCGTTGATTCTCCTGCTCAGAAAATAATTCTTTCATTTGCTCTGAGCTTATTATAGTAATTTTTATTTGGCCTGTTGAGTTTGGGGCGTCACAACCAGCTTTACCACAACTTTGATCGTTTTTAGATATGTCATCTTCTACTTGCTGGCCCACAGGACTGTCCCGGGAGTTTATAGGTTCAATGCCATATGGAAACTCTTTTAAAAGTTCTGACAGCTGATCATGCAGGTATAAGATAGATGTCTTATCATTGGGTACTGTACTGTTTGCAGGATCTTGGGCAGTATAACTGTAGGGTTTATCAGTTTCTGAGACAGCCTGTTTAATATCAGCTGAACAACATGTATTGGTAATGGTGTTTTCTTTATTAGCAATATACTCCAATTTGTTTCCCTCCAGGATTTCTCCATTTGCTTCAGCACACTTCAAAGACGATGGTTCTAAAGATGGCAGATGAAGATCCATTGTTATCTTAGGCTTCGAAGAACAATCTGTGACCCGCACAATATTCTCTTTTTGAAAACCAAAGTTTTTATTTTCCATGGCTTTATCTAATTTTTCCTTTTGTTGTAGACAACTCATTACCGGCTCATCAGGCAGACAAGGTTTCTGTGGTTCAACCTTATTCAAAGAGGGAGAGTTAAATATCTCCGCTATCTGGGAGTTGAAGGACCTATCACCTTCAACCAGAGAACAAATATTGGCAATCTGTAACATTTGTTGATTACTACTCACTCTGGAGAAAATTGAAGTGCCTTCACTTGAAGAAGAGTAGACATTTGATGTTGATCTGACATGTTTTTCTTGATTAGTATTCAGTAGACCCAAATTACAAATAGTTGGCTTGGCTTGCTCTTCTTTCTGAATTAGTGGAGAAATCTTAGTTGATGGTGCAGTACTTGGTTCATTAGCAGCAGCTTTCAAAGTAGTAATTACATTTATATTTTCTGCTGCCCGATCTTGTAAGCTACAAACACTACCTTCTTTAATAATCGGATACACAGTTTCTGGTAATGCTTCATGTATAACTGCGTTGACAGACATGTTTTTGACATCTGAAAGGATCAGAGGTGACACTACAGCTACCTGAAGTTCTGATCCTTTTGTTACATTTGTACCAGAGGGTTCATACGTCTGCACCACCACAGGCAAAGTTTCCTGCTGTTCTGAGTTAATTAACATTGTACTGTTCTGAGAATTTTCCGCAACCACACATGGATTCTTATCATACAGATCTACAGGTTTAGAAGTGTCACCTGTTGTTCTGTTTGTTCTCAGTTCATTACAGTGTTTTTCTTTTGTAGACTCTGAAGGTGTCTTTTTCCACAGAGAAAGACATGTTGCTATCAATTCCATGGAACAGTCATTTTTAGAAGATCCCCCATTTGTTGAGGATTTCTGATCAAGACAAAATGACTTGTGAGAGTCTTTGGTGTTTACATGAAAAGTACTTTGAGTTTCCGCAGTTTTCAGATTTGGTGGTTCACTGATGACTTGAGTATTCTGATTCATTTCTAAATGATTTGGTTTAAGATCTTGAGTAGTTTCAACAGCTTTATTTCTTGCTGCATCTTTAGCTTTATCGCCAAACAAAAGAAACTGGACGACAGTCTTTTTATTTATTGGTGTTGGAACACGTTCCTTTAAAAGTACTAGCTGAGGAACAGGAACTGTTTCGGCGTTTGTGGGCACATTTTGGTCACCTTTGATATCTTCTGATGGAAACTGGGTGTTATTTAATGTCTGGGTAAACTCAGCAGTTGATGTTTTTAAAGCTTGCGAATCACCAAACTGGCCTGTCACTGGTAATTTTCCCAAACAGTCGGCCTTCAGTAAAATAGACTTGTCTTGGTTCAATTTTTTGCCATCAATTTCCTGAATCTTGGTATTCAATGTATTGTGCGTTCTATTTATTTCTCCCGTACATTTCATTACTCTTGTTAGCTGGCCCTCAGAAAACTTTGCAATTACATGTGTTACCTGTGGCCTGGACTGGATTTTGGAAGTCTGTTTCATAGACAATTCAGAATTCTCAGCTAATTCGCCATGAGAGGTATTACATGCTTTACTACAACCTGCTGCCATCAAAAGTTCTTTGTTTATTTTAATTTTCCTCGCAAGTTCCAAGAAGTTCCTTTTTATTTCCATTAATGTCTTAATGTCGCTTGCTATCACTTCTTTAGTGGCATTTGTGTCCAGTACTTGAGTTGAGGCTGAATTGCCAGAAACCACACTTTTATCTTGATTGTGTTGAGAAGCAGTCTGAACACCATCCACAAGAGATTGCACTGGTCTATTTGCAGGCTGATTTACTTGCAAATTACAAAAATTTCCAATCGTGTTGATTTCTTTTTTAGAGTTTTGCCACTGTTGGAAGTCACCACGATAGTCTTTTTCATTTAAGTGTGTCTCATGATTCTGAGGAATTTCCTTTGCAGAGTGTTGTTTACTAAGAAGTTGAGAATTTTGTAAAGGTGGGCTTGCGTATTTACAGTCATAACTGGGAGGAGGGCCTCTATTATCAATTTGAGTAACGGCATATTGTTGTAATTGTACAGGTACATTTTGTGATTGTACAGGTATGTTCTCCTGTGGCGACAAAGCTGCATGCTGCTGTGCCTGCATAGGTCCATATTTATAGCCATAACTAGGAGGAGGTCTATTGTCAACTTGCAGAACTGCATACTGCTGTGCTTGTACAGGTACACTCTGCTGTGACGGTAAGACTACATTCTGCGGTGACTGTACAGGTACATATTTATAGTTATAACCTGGAGGCGGAAGTCTGTCACCAACTTGAGAAACTGCGTATTGTTGTGACTGTACAGGTGGATTTTGCTGTGACTGAAGAAAAAGAGTACTATTTGAAACTGGAGTATTTTTAACATGTAACAGTTCAGACAGCATAGGGTTTTGTTTCTGAAGTATGTGACCTTTTGATCTTTGCTGTGAATTACAATATTGCTTTTGGGGTGATCTGTAGTCTGGAAATGTCATTCCATTAGAAGTAAGTTGTTGTGCCCAGTCAACGCATCGCTCTGTTAAAGATGAATTAGGTCCTTGATTTCCTTGGTAAGTTACAGGACCTCTTCCAGAATTAGAAGGGATCATTTGTAACTGCATAGAGTATGTATCTGATGACACAAATTGATTCTGGACTATATGAATAGTGGATGGATTAGCTCCAAAACTAATTTGATTAGAATCAACAGTTGTTCTTGTATGAGAGAGCTTGGAGTTCTTCATAGGTGAGTGCAACCATGCATTTTGTACTGTTCCTGTAGACAATTGCAAACTGTGATTTAATTGTTTGTGTCCTTTAACATTTGAGGATGGTTTTATTTCTACTGAAGTTTGTGAGGCCATATTTGTTCCATTATGCATATCAGAAAGGGAGATTTGTTGAGAAGTTGCATAATTTTTTAGGCTGATCAGTGGTTGCGCAAGTGGATTTGATTGACTGGGGTACATGCAGGCTTCTTGGTTACTTCCATAGTTGAGAGAACTTTGAGATGTTGAGGCAAGCGGATTTATTAAAGCCTGATGCAAAAAAGATGACTGGCTTTTAGTGGGCAATGGTGGCATCTTATTATTTGTTGGTTTTGTATTCCAGTTCATCGTTGATTCGATGTACTCTCATATATTTAAAAACCAGTTGTTTTCAACATCAGTAACCTGCAAGAATGAAAAACCTTTTATTAAAAAGCTGTTCTACCTAAATAAGAGTACCAATAGAAATATTCTAAAAGAAAACCCTAACTGATGCAAGGTACTCCAAAGATTGCTGACAGATTCTTGAAACAGATCTACAACCACAGAGGGAGACCTAAGAGCCCTTCTCAGCACAGGATGGGAGGAAAAATGGATGGTTAACAAAATTGTAACAAACAAGTTAATAAGTACTAATAGTATCAATAATAACAGCAGAACATACACTCTTTAAGTGCACATGGAATAACAGTTTAGGCAAAATCTACAAAATGCCTAGGCCATAAAGCAAATGTAAAGTTTGGAAGAACTGAAATAACTCAGTTTACTACTGTGGAATACTCTAGAAATTAAAGGAAAAATGATAACTAGAAAATGCAAAGTAATTGGAAAGAAAACAATACACTTCAAAATTACTTCAGGATAATTTAGACTTTTTTTTTAAAGCAAGGCTGGAAATTAACCTCCCATTCATTTGCAAGAACTGAAAATAAAAATAGCACATGAGGGAGATGAATATGAATGAATAAACCAGTTTCAGCAAATCACAAGCTGGTTCTTTAAAAAGAATAAAATTAATATGCCTCTGATTAGCCTGATTATAGGAGGAACAAGAAAAAGTTAATACACCAGTAAAAGAATCACTATAGATCCTGTAGGTATTAAAATGGTAGGCATGCTTTAAAATTATTTCTACTAAAGAAATTTCCTTAATTTTGATAAAAGCTATCAGTAAAAAACTTAAGATTGACAAGTTACTCTACGAACACCTTGACTCACCTTTGTACTTGAGATGGGTGAAGATAGATATCACATGAATATTGGCAAGGAACAAGGAAAAGAAGCTAAAATTACAAGGATTTTCCCTCCTAACAGTCTTCCCTTTGAGCTGGCACCATGAATTTGAGCCTTCTAACAATGAGTCCTAGTGTGACATGGTGGTTATACAATGAGCTGCTAAATGCAAGGCCAGCAGTTAGAAAACACTGTGGAAGAAGATGAGGGTTTCTATTCCCAGAAATGATTACATACTCAGAAAAAACCACAGAGGCCGTTTTACCCTGTCCTAGTGACTATATGTTGGAATCAATTCTATGGCCGCGAGTTTAACTTTTGGTTGTAGTCTACTTATTTTGGGAAAATAAACTTCAGTTAAAGCCACCTACTGGCTAAGTAACAAAAATTTTTAAAGGGCTTCAGTAAGTAGAAAGGTATCTCATTTGTGCTGATTGCAAGAGCTCAATACTATCAAAAGCAGCCTGAAAATTCAATATTATTACTACTCCCATCAAAATTCAAAAAGCCTTCTTAGCAGAAGCATAAAAGCCAATCTTCAAGTCAAAGCAAAGGTCCAATTTTGGAAGACCTGAACTCAGAATAGGCTACAATGGAATAAATCTAGAAGTTAAAATAATTTTAAAGTAAGGTTAAACGTGATTTTAAAACATACTATAAAGCCAGTGATTAAAACAGCCTGAAACTGGTATTGCAATAATAGACACACATAACAAGGGAAACAGAATTTAACGTGACTCCTCTAACTGCAGCCACACGAAACCTCCCAATGCTCTGGGTAGGAGAAGGTGGGAAAAAACATTAATAGGATTCAATTGTGAGTGCTTGCTATTCATTGTGATGCCACCCTCTTGCATATAAAATGAACCCTCTCAGAAGGAGGGATCCCGCTAACAGGAGCTAGGGGTGGAGCACATCCTGTGAAGCCCCCAAATTCCTGCACAGGGAACCTCCTTAATCAAGAAGACAGCTTTGACAGGTGCAGAAGTAGGAGCCAGAGCAGTGGACTTCCCAATGTACAGAGCAAATAAAGCTGAGTGCTTTTGTGCAGGAGGCTATAGATTATGGAGTGGGGGTGCCTCTGGGCACTTAATTGGGGGAGCTCATTTTGCTGACCCATGGAGTTAGAGCTTAGTTACTTTCGGGGTGAGGCTTATAGCAAAATGGGCATGCCATGCTAATAAGTAGTCTCCAAAGAATTCTACAACACATGCTGCGTGAACAACCCTTAATGAGCATTTCTACTCTGAGTGGTAACCTGTATAAGCCCTATACTAGCCTGAGTCCTGAGTGTCCACTGCAATGAATTATAGAGCCTAGCAATAAAAGTAGAGGACGCTGTGCCAGATAGAACAGAACATGAATGTCCAAATATAATCTATACATCTTTGGTGAACTAATTTTTGGTGAGTGTGCCAGATCTGTTCAGCACAGAAGTCTAGTTCAAGACATGTTACTACTGTGAATATGCAATTTCCACAAGCAAAAAACAAATGAATAAAGTTCACGTTTCGTACCACACATGATAAAAGAACTATACAAAGTGGACCAAATAACTAAATGTAAAAATGAAACAATAAATGAAAAATATATAGGGGTTTAACTACAGGATCTAGTGTTAACCAATGGATTATCAGACATGGCAACCAAAATATGAACACCAAATGACAAAATAAAGAAGACCTCATAAATCCTTAATCAATATGACCATTAAACTATAAATGCAGAAATTACTAGGTATTTTAATCTATGCGTCTTTCACCATTTTTCCTGGCTATACTTTTTCCTGAATAAAATTTCCATTTTTAAAACAATTTATCTGTTTACATTTATATTACCATTCTCACCCTTAAGATCATATACTTCACACAAGTTACTGATTAGATCACAAAAGTAGAAGCAGTTGGGTGAGGGGGCTAGAGATTGGAGATGGTATGCATCTTATTATTATTTAATAGAATAGCCTACAAACAAGGGTCTATATATTTCACATAGCCTTGTTATGAAGTTTAATAAAACAGATTGATGAAGGAGAAGTATAACACAAAGTAGCAAGTAATCTCTTCCTTTCCTCTGATGTCAAGGAAGCCTAGGAAAGCATTCTGAATTATGTAAACTAAGGAGGGGTAAAATGCAGACTTATAAACATTCTGATGATGGCTGATAGTATAAATGTGGAGGCTGCAAAAGTTAAGAAAGATAGTAAATCTGTAAGAGAATGTTTTCATTAAGAACGCTTAAAACTTGTGAGACTTCAAACTACCGGCGATATAATTATCATTTACAAGATTCATCGTGTTATCATTGTGATTTCTCTTCCCACAAATCCTTTGAATATATTACCCTGAAATCTCCACATCTCCCTCACCATTCCCCACTTCCTACCTGGTGGTAGCTCACCTAACAAATCCCCAACTGTGGCTGAATTTCCTTCCCTGCATAAAAGCAGCCAATGCTTCCTGGAGGGGTGAAGGGGAAAAAAAAAAAAAAAAATCACACAGGCACAGAGACTTGGTTTTAATTTGTTAATACAAATATTAAGAAACATTAAATCTGGCAGTAATTCTATTTTGAGTAAATCCCCCTGCGCTACACCCCATTCTCCAAGACCTTTTTCCTCCTCTTTGATCCAAGCCACTCAAACTCCCAGACATACCCTGTCTATTCAGCTGCTTGTATTTCAGAAAAGGGGGAAGAGGGGTGTAGATCTCTACAAGGTTCTCAAATCACTAACACATGAAGTCATTGTTACGTATGCTTCCAAACTACCCATTAACCTTAAAGGAAATCTCTAACACAGGAGGTGACTTACTGGTCTTTGGTCACCTTGACCCTTTCCATGAGGTCAAAGTAAGATGGTCACATATAAACCTGGAATTTCTGGTCACTCAGAGGGCAGTCATGGACTACCTCAAGACTGACATTATAAATGGAGGCCCACTACCACCAACCTCGTACCTTAGCTCCGAGGGACCTCTGCCTTCTCAGAGACATGGCCAAGGCTTCCTCTCAAGACTACTTGCTAAATGTAAACACCTTAGACATTAACCACTGAATGAATGCACTGTAGTTGTTAACTCTGATTTTCCAGCATGAAAAAGCATGTCTTCCAAAACTAGTCTGTCACTTTTTCATCCTACAGTGGCTTGTGTGTTGCTGGAAAACATGTCACTGGTATTTCAAATGCCAGCAGGATAACTCAAAAGTGGGCAGGTTTCAGTGGAACCTCCAGACTAAAAACAGACTAAAATCTGTTTTGGAAGAAGGACGCCCAGAGTCCTCCTTAGAGGCAAAGATGGTGAGACTTCATGTTACATACTCTGGCCATGTTGTCAGACCAGTCCCTGGAGAAGGGCAGGGCAGCAAAAAGGAGGGCGGAGTGACACAGTGGCTGTAACAATGGGCTCAAGCATGGGAACAATTGTGAGGATGGCAAAGGACAGGGTAGCTTAGTGTTTCCTTTTGCTGTGCATAGTCACTATGGGTCCGGAACTGACTCAATGGTACCTAACAACAATAAAAACAATGCCTTGAGGTTAGTCACTTGTGTACCATGCCATAACTACCTTATAATAAGCTAAAACGATCAATTTCTATATGGCAGTTAGCTTGTACTCGTAAATAAAACAACACACAAGAGGAACCCTGGTGGCATAGTGGGCAACACTTTGAGCTGCTAACCACAAGGTTAATGATTTGAACACACCAGCTGCTGCAAGAAAGAGGAAGCTGTCTGCCTTCCATAAATACTCAAAGCCTCAGAAACCCACAGAGGCAGTTTTGCTCGTTCCTAGTTGAAGCCACCCAGCACTGTTTGAGATGAGGCTTTCAACTCCATAACTGCCAGTCTTGGAAACCAAAGGGGCGGTTCTACCTATAGGGTTGCTGTGAGTCGGCACGACAAATGGCAGGGAGTTTGGTTCTGGACAGGGTCACTATGAGTTGGAATCAACTTGATGGTTGAGGAAATGCTATGGGCCCCACATTTCACCTCCACACCAGCCACAGACTGATGTTTTCTATGCTTCGCTTCACATAACCATCTTAATAGCGAATCTGCATCTGCTGCTTTAATTTCTCCTTACCTGCTCTCTTCATGGTTTGTTTTAAATGAGAGTTAAGAATCTATATAGTTGAAGATACACTGAATTCTTGCTTTGTTGATATAAAATTCCAATTTTTATCGCTTCTGTTCTGCCCTCAACTACACACGTAATGTTTCACCCTCACCCGAAGCACTTAAGAGAGCTAGATCAGACTCAGAGGACACCACATGGCCAAGTGTATGTCTAAGGCTGCTCAACACACCAAGTTACTACAAGCTTGGGAGTCTTCATGACACACACCCACTCTAACCTGCTGGATACAAATTTGGGGGTTCCCTCCATTTCCAGCCCAGCCAAGGATACCAGCCATAAGCTTGGAGGTCACCAGACCTCTCATCTAAACGTCCTGGCTCCTACTACTCACTGAGTTTTGATACTTTGTTAGCCTTGAGAGAACTCACTAGAAATTATAGCTCTGTTACAGGAAAAGGACAGGAGACACACATAGGGCAAGGTGTGAGGTTGTTCCTCACGTGGTGATTCCGTGATCCCAAAAGGGATGTGCTACCTCCATTTACATCGATGTCATTTCACCAACCAGGAAGCCCATGGAAACTTAGTTGTCTAGCACTTGTTATTGGGGAATTTTTTCCCAGGTTATCCCGAGGTGGTATCTCAAAGATGGTCCCTCTGGCCACCTCATCAGCACAACAGGCTTCAGCTAGAGAAAGGTCTCCACAGTTCTGATAGAGAACTACAGTTTCAAATACACTTTCTCCAGACTGGAAAACACCCTCACAATAGCCCTCCATAAAAAGGGGCTACCATAAAAGGTGTCTCCTACTTGTATCTGGCTGATCACAATCTGCCTGGAGGCTGCCTGTCTTTAGAAAATGCAGATTCCTTTAGCCCACCCAACATGGTGTTCCTTCTGACACCAATCACAGATTGTTCCCCTAGAGAGGGCTTAGGGACATCAATGGTGAAGCTGCTGCCCCATTCTACTACCTGCTTACTCTATTAAGTATATACCTGCTGGAGGCTTGCAAGCCTCTTGATCCTGAGGTTGGGGCGAGTCCCTGTGCCTTGCTGTCTATGTCTTTTTCTTCTTTAATCACACAGCTGCTCCTAAGGAGCCGTTCAATTGTAGAACTGGATCCCACGTGTGGTAGTAAAGCTTTGGGGACCTTCATTTGCTGATGGAGCATGACTAAATGAGAAGAAACATCTTCAAAAATCAATTAATAATCAGAACTTGGAAATGTACGAAGCATGACTAGGAAAACTGAGAAGTAGCCAACAATGAAATGGAACACATCATAAAGATGGATATCCCAGAGGGTGGAGGGAAGACGGGGTAGAAAGGGGGAACCGATTACAAGGATCTATATAGAACCTCCTCCCTGGGGGATGGACAACAGAAAAGTGGGTGAAGGGAGACATTGGACAGTGTAAGCTATGACAAAATAATAATTTATGAATTATGAAGGGTTCATGAGAAAAGAGGGAGGGGAAAATGAGCTAATATTAAGGACTTAAGTAGAAAGCAAATGTTTTGAGAATGATGGTGGCAACAAATGTACAAATGTGCTTGACACAATGGATGGATGGTGATAAGAATTGTATGAGCCCCGAATAAAATGATTTAAAAAAAAAAAGATTGATATCCTAGGTGTTAGTGAGCTGAAATGTACTGGTATTGGCCAATTTGAATCAGAAAATCATATGGTTTACTATGGCAGGAAGAGAATTATCGAGACAAGAGAAGTAGCTCTGCATTCTTTGTCAAAAAGGGCACATTAAGATCTATCAAGAAGTACAATGCGAGGAGCTAAGTCCAGGAACTCAAGCGGAAAGCGAATTTTGAGAATGATGAGGGCAACAAATGTATAAGTGTGCTTTACACAACTGATGTATGTATGGATTGTGATGAATTGTATGAGCCCCAATAAAATGATTTAAAAAAAGAAGAAGTACAATGTTGTATGTGACAGGGCTATCTATCCACCTTTAGGAGATCAAATCAATACAAACATTCAGATTTATAGACCAACTACTAAAGCTAGTGATGCAGAAACTAGAAGATTCTACCAACATCTTCAGTCTTAAATTGATCAAACATGCAATCAAGATGCACTGAAAATTGAAATGCAAAGGTTGAAAACAAAGAGGAAGGAATAGCAGATTCCATGAAAGAATTTTGCAAGACCAAAAACGTGTTCACAATGAACACCTGTTTTTCAACACAGAAGGTGACAATATACATGGGACTTCTCCAAAAATAAAATTGACTATTAGGTTCAGGTTTAAGCTGAAGATATTAAAAACAAGTCCACCAGAATATAACCTTCAGTCTGTTCCATCTCAATTTCAAGAATTTCTCAAAAACAGATTGGTTGCATTGAACACTAATGACAGAAGACCTGAGTGTGGTAATGAATGTACAACTCTTCTTGATATAATTGATCTATTAAAATATGTTATTTGGATTATGTTCCAATAAAACTATGTTTAAGTAAAAAACAAACACAAAAAAGATGCACCCGACTCAAGCCATGGTGTTTTCAATGGCCTCCTATGAAAGTTGGACATTAAATAAGACTGAAGAATTGATGTGTCTGAATCATGGTATTGGCTGGTAAAGAATATTGAAAGTACCATGGACTGCCAAAGGAACAAATAAATCTGTCTTGGAAGAAATACAGCCAGAATGCTCCATAGATACAAGGTTGGCCAGACTACAGTAGGTGTTAAGCCAGGTTCATAGTATTTCCACTCTACAATTAATGTGAAGAGATGCCATATGCACAGAGAATATTATAAATGATTGTTTAAAATTACCAAAAAAACCAACAAACCTATGAAAACATATTTAAGGTTTCTAAATGCTAGACTACAATATCCTAAATGCAAGAGAGTGGTATGGAACAGAGAAAGAAAACTAAGATAACAGATATAAATCCAATGATTTATGAGATTTATATGATGCAAGCATCAGGCCAAAATCAAACTATATACAGCCTCTAAGAGAAACACTTTAAATCCAAAGATACAAATAAAATGAAAGTCAGAGGACAGAAAACCATCACGTATGTAAACAGCAGCCACAGGAAAGCTGGAGGGGCTGTACTAATAATCTAAGACAAAGCAGACTGGAAAATATCAAGCGCAAAGAAATAACAGAGCAACCCTCTGTGGGTATCAGAGACTAAGTGTTTAAGGGAGTCGAAAGCCCAGCCTTTCTCCCAAGGAGCTGCTGGGGGGTTTGAACTGCCAACCATGAGGATCGCAGCCCAACCCCATAACCACTACACCATCAGGGCTGCTAATAGATAAAAGCGGGACTTTTTTTAATGTGAAAGGGATCAATCCATCAGGAAAGTGATCAATAGATGCA